CAGCAGCAGCACGTTCAGCAAACAAGAAGGGCTTTATCCAATGTGAGTTTTCGATGCTCGGACTGGGATCAAGTCGTGCGGGGTTGGGTTCGCTTTGCAACGCAGCACGGCAACTACGTCGTCGTCGTCGTCCTCGTCGCACCTGGAAGGCAATCAATGCCAGCTGGTAGTCAAACTTGTACACGGACAGCACGGCCTTGTTTGCAAACATCATGGTGAGGCTTGCAGCGCAGTACGTCGCCGTCGCGATCAGCGGAGTGGACCCAAACCGCTCCTGCATCATTCTGAATCTCAGAACAATGTGCTGAAGAAGGACTGGTTTTGTGATGTGATGTGTGTGTGTGTGTGTGTGTGTGTGTGTGTGTGTGTGTGTATGTTTTATTGTTTGATTGTGCTTGTGTGAGGTTGGCTTTATCGTTGCAACATACAACAGCAAAACCATGGAGGCAACCGCACTTGCGACAGACAAAAAACTCGGGATAATGTAATAATGGAGGGAGGGGGAGGGGTGCGTTATTCATTCAACAGTAACGCTTTTCGCCAAATTGCGAGGTGTATCGACCGCATTGTCCCGCAGCACACCGATGTGAAAGGCCAGGAGTTGTAATGCGATGACGGATGTCACGGATTGCAACGCCTCGTCAACGATCGGAAGCTCCAGCACGCTCGACGCAAACGGGGACAGCTCGGCGCGATCGCCAATCGAGCACAAAACGACCGGCTTTGCACCGCAATCTGCAATCTGCGCCAGTGCAGCCTTGGTCCTCTGTCGTCGTCAGAAGGCACAAGCAGACAAGGAGAGCAAGTGAACGTACTGTGGTGTGCGCGAACAAGTTGAACAAACTGCGGTGCAATTCCAAACAAAACGTACATTAAAGTGCGAGTCCCGAAGTGCCAAGAAGATGATGCAGCGAGCTTGGTTGACAAGAGCCATTGGGCCGTACTTGACGTCTCCAGCATGAATTCCCTCTGCGTGAATGTAGGCAAGCTCCTTGATTTTCTGCATCCGAGAACATTGAAAGCCAATCACTGAGCTCGCTCGCTTGTGACACGAAAACAAGAAGGCTCGGTGGTGTGCATCACAGTCATGCCTCTTACCAATGCACCCTCAAGAACAGCCGCATACTGCCCTCCGCGTCCGAGTAGCAAAATGCTTTGCTGCTTGCTGCACTCCTTGGCAATCGTCAAGATTTGTTCATTCATGGCCAAAACTTTCCGAATGATATCTGACGGGGGAAAAAAAAAAGTAGATCAACATGGTGAGATGAAGTGTATACGAGAGCATTTCCACCTCTGCCCCCCCCCCCAACAGCCAGCCAGCTTGTCACGCAGCTTGTCAAAGCTCGGCCAAACAAACAAACCTGGCAGCATGTGCAAATCCTTGATGATGGCGCGGCTGCGATCTTGAAAGAGTGCGAGCGATTGCCCAACAAGCAAGGCAATCATGGTGAGGGCCACTACTTGACTGGTGAACGCCTTGGTGCTGGCAACACTGATTTCGGGACCAGCGTTCAGATGCACACCGCAGTGTGTTTCTCGTGCAATGCAGCTGCCCACGGCATTCACAACACCGATACAAAGGGCGTCGTGGTCCTTGCAGTACCGCAGCGCATTGAGCGTGTCGGCCGTCTCGCCCGACTGGCTGATAAACACGCAGACATCGTCGCGGAAGATTGGTGGCTTGCGATCGATAAAGTCGGACGCGATTTCCACAAACACGGGCTTCTCCCAAGCTTCCTCGAACAGAGCTCGAACGGCCAGTGCAGAGTGGTGACTAGTGCCACAGGCAATAAACAGTATTCGCTTGGCGCGTCGTATTGCCACGACATTCGCTTGAATACCGCCAAGACGCAACGACTCGGTTTCAAAGTCGAGGCGACCGCGCATCGTATTGAAAACCGACTCTGGTTGCTCAAAAATCTCTTTCTGCATGAACGTGCCGTAGTCGCCTTTCATAATGTCGTGCAACTCGAGCTCAAGTGTGTGGATGCGGCGGCTCGAGCTGAGCACCTCCTCTGTCCGGAGTTGACGAATGGCCAGAGCTGCAATAGAGGCAACAATTCGACGAGGGGGGAGAGCGGGGGGGGGGAGGGAAGCACCATGAAGCAAACCAAAAACAAAAAAAATGAGACAAACGGCACCCATCAGCCAATTTTTGAAAACAGCAAAACAAAAAACAAAGAGGAAAAAACAAAACAGCATCAGGAACGTACAGCCGTTTGAAATCCAAGCAATGTCATTGTCCTGGAGCTCGACAACACGGTTGGTAAACTCTACAATGGCGCAAGCATCCGAGGCCAGAAAGTACTCGACGCGGGGCGAGGTTTGACCATCCGCAGAGGAAAAATTCAAAAAGCTTTGACTGCGTCGATACCCAGGGTTGATGCTAACAATGCCAGCGTCGGACGTCTCTGTTAGCACGGGCACTTCATCGGTGGTGAACTTGTGTTTGGTTCGAATGCCAATCAGCAGGGGAGAGCCTCGCCGACAGCCCACCGCCTCGAAAGGATAGTGCACCGACTTGAAAAGCAAGGCAAAGGCTCCCTGAATCTCTCGCAGTGCAATCTCAATGACTTGCGAGAAGGTGGGCTCGCGTCCAGTGTCCGTTTTCAAATTGTCGTAGACAAACTTGACGAGCTTGGCGAGCACCTCCGTGTCAGTGTCCGACTCAAACACATATCCCTTCTTCTCGAGCAAGGTCTTGATTTCCTTAAAGTTGGTGATGATTCCGTTGTGGACCACGATAAACTCGTTGTTCACGTCTGAGCGGTGCGGATGCGAATTCACAGCAGACGGCGCTCCATGCGTCGCCCACCGCGTGTGCGCGACCGCGACGTGGTACAGAAAGTCGTGGTCAAAGTCAATGTGCTTGACTTGGAAGACGGAGCGCTCCAGGTCGGCCACCTTGCCCTGCTGCTTTGCAATCTGAATGTTTCCATCGTCATCGTCGAAAGCAATGCCTGTGTGTGTGTGTGTGTGTTTCAGTTCGCAGCAAAGGCCGCCACTCGCAGTCAGTCACGCCATCACCGACCCGCCCATGCAGTTCAACAACCCGTGCTCGGAGCGTCATTCCAACAGGGAGGGAAGGAGCAGCAGACTGGAGCACCGCAGCAAGGCGTCCCTCTCTCCGCCCCACTGCGTGGTCCAATGCAATGCCTTTCATTCCAAAACAGCTCAACCTGTCAAGTGCAAAGGATCACTGCATTCCCTCGATTGCGACTGCCTGCTGGGCTGGCCCCCCCCCATGCGCTTCGTCCGCCAGCCAACAGCAATGCCGAGCCAAGGTGCTGTCTGTATTCAGTTTGGCAAGCCAGAGCCTGCAGCTCGCAGTGGCTGGCTTCGACAGGGCGAGCGCATTTTCAGGTCTTTTTTTTTTTTTCTTTTTTTTTTTTTCTTTTTTTTCTTTTTCTTTTTCTTTTTTTTTTTTTTTTTTTTTTTTTATGGTTTCTTGACCTGCATCATCGTTTCTGAATTTGCAGTTTTGGACCACGAATCTTTCCCGCAAAACAAGGCCTTGTGTAGACCACCACTCGCACTCTGCTCGCCTTGTCGTGCCCCCCCCCCCCATCTTGGGAAGGGGAGGGGTGCGCGAGCGCGCCTCTCTCAAAAAGCAACAAAAAAAAAAGCTGTCAAACTACTTTTTTTTTTCTCGTTTGTATTTTACCTGCCGAGTCGTAGCCGCGATATTCGAGACGGGCAAGACCCATGAACAGAGTCTCGAGGATGGATTGACGGTCTTTGATTACGTTGTTCAGAACGTAACCGAAGATTCCTGACCAAAACCAAAGCGCGAAGGTGAGCGAAGTGGAAGGAGGGCAAAAAAAAAAAAAAAAAAAAAAAAAAAAAAAAGGACGGCTTGTCAAAGTCATTTGTAAACTCACCACACATTGTTGTCGACCCAGGCAGCCCAGGACACTCGCGCGATGCAAAAGTGGCAACTAGAGTATTGATGTGATGAAAGTGCCCAGCGGGCGCGACCAGGTGTCACGATGCAAGCGCACAAATGAAGGGCGCAGATTGAGTGATGGCAAAAGGGGAATAAAGGGGAAAAAAAAAAAAAAAAAAAAAAAAAAGCCAATCCAAACAACCAAAAATCAATGAACGGGAAAAAAAAAAAAAGGATGATGAAAGAGTGAGGTTTACAAAATCGATCGGGGGAAAGTCATTGTAAATGTTATGGATTGATGTGTATCTGTATTTGGAGTGTGTTCACTCGTCGCTTTGTATAAGTGAAGTCTCTTGTTTCCCTATCATCACTCTCATCATCAACCCATTACTCGTATCTTCGTGGAAGGATCTCTGATCACAACACTGCGACGAGTCTCGAGGGTCGAGTAATTGATGTCTAAGGTGACGACTAGAGTAGGAACCAGGAAATTGAATCAGAATCAAGCAATGCCCAATAACGAGCAGGGCGTCGATACGACGGCGCCCACTGCGGGCACGTCGAGCGCAACAAGCGCACCAGCTGAACCAATGAGCGCGCAAGAGATGATGCGAATGATGACTCAAGCGATGGTTTCCTCAATGCAGGAGGTCGTCAAGGAGGCGATGCGCAAGGGAACCGCTGAGATCGCTGTATCAAGCCATGCGGCCTCCACCACCACGGCAAGCCCCACCACCAGCACTGAACTGTGGAGACATGGCATGCAGGTGACACCCTTCGATGGGACGCTGTTGGATCTGGAACGTTTTGTCACGGACATCCGACGCAAGCTTGAGTCAGTGACGGCACCCGAGAAGGACAAGGTCGACTTTGTGCTTGGTCATCTGGGTGTCGCAGCGAGGCGTTACTGTAGCCATGTCAAGTTCGAGACTGCGGAAGCTCTGCTGGAGTACATTATGAATGTGTATGGCGTCAAGAACAGCAAGAATAACGCACTCAGGGAAATCATCCAAGCGGTGGCGGATCCAAAGATTTCTGCGAGGCACTTCAAGAAGGTCATGCTGTTGAATGTGCCCAAAGCGGAACTTACGGATGATTTGGTGAGGCGCTTCATTGTGCTGCAAGCGGAAGACAAAGGCGTGCGCGATGTGGCGAAGGAGCTGTGCAAGGACACCACCGAGATGACGTGGATTGATGCATTGAACGAGTTGGTCGAAAGCATGCCGAGCAAGGTACGAGCGGAGACCAGCACCAGTAGTCAAGCTCCCAGGCACGTCCAAAAGCCGAATCGAGACAAGAACGGTCATCACGCAGGCAAGAGCAAGGACAAGGACGTCAAGAGCTGCAAGCACTGTGGCAGGACGAACCACAAGTCGGAGGCATGCTATTCCAAAGGCGGCACTGCGGCTGCGGCTGCGGGCAGTTCCGAGGAGGAGTCTGATGACTCGGACGATGCTCCTGCTCCCAAGAAGGCTCCCAAGAAGGCTCCCAAGAATGGCCAGGACGGCCAGGGAAAAGCCTGAGGGTAGACACGAATTTGCATCCTTCGCGTGTACTACTCAATAAAATTCTTTCAAAGAAGAATGCAGTGCAATCTACGGTGTGCATAGGCCGCAAGTTTAGCAAGACCACACCGACCCGAGCGCTTTTCGACTCGGGGTCGACGCGCACGCTGGCAGCCAGTGCCTCGGTTGAGGCGTGGGGCTTGGAGCCGCATGTGCTGGAGCGGCCGATGACGGTACGCATGGTCGATACGACGACGCGCGACATTACGCACGCGGCCTGGGCCAAGCTGACGATCGGCAAGTGGCGTGGCAAGGTGCTGGTCTACATCCTGCCGCAATGCATCATGCCCCTGATCATAGGCATGGATGTGTTGCAGCGGATTACGGACAGCGGCCCGATTCGTGTCAAAGCTCAAGAGGCGGAGAGCGCAGCGTTGCTCGTTGGGGAAAAGGCATCGCCACAGCAGCCGTTCGATCCGAAGGCCATTCCGGAAGCGTTTCGGGAGTTCGCAGCCTTGTTTGATCCAGCGGCAGCGGACAAATACCCTCCCAAACGCGGTCCGCTGGACGTGAAGCTGCGGTTCGCGAGCGGTGACGTCGAGACGCCATATCGGCGCACC